GCCTCAGCCTCAGCCTGGCAGGCTGTGGTGAAGCAGCTGGATGGCAAAGTCGATGGCCTCGCTGGGCGGCTGGAAGAGGTGAAGCGTGGCCGACCCACCGAGATAAGGTTGTGTTTAAGCACCTGCTTTCAAGGTTGAATCCAAAAGCCGTGAAGCAAAGGCAACGACCACTGGCATCTCAGCTTCACTGCCTCGACTCTCAGCAAGGCACCCTCGCCTTCAGCACCTGCAGAGCCATGGGGTTCGATGGCTCCGACCGCCCAGCCGACGGTGCCCCAACAAGCGGGACCCTTGGAAAGGCTCATGCGTCGTTTGTGTTTGTCGTTTTCTTTCTTCCTTCTTTGTGGTTCAGGTCGGGCAGACGCCGCAGGCAGACCACAAGCTGCTTGGGACCGGACGGCATCCGCCCTACTTTCGAGGTGGCCATCGCAAGTGACACCAGCGCAGACACGGAGGTCACGAAGGATCGGGACGGACGGGCGGATGCTCGGGAATGGAAAAGGTCCGAGTCCCTCAATTCCATTCTGCTGTGGTGAAGGCCCACACTGCCACTCCCCGGAGCGCGCAGCCCTCAGACGATTCCCCCAATTGCAGATTGTCAGTGCTGTCAGCCACGGTCTGGCCTTGACGATGGCAAACCTCCTGAGCATCTTTTCATCTCCGACATCACTCTGGAGCCAATGCACAGTCGCTGATTTTGATTGACAGGCGCAGCTTCACGACATCAGCGACAAGATAGATGACCTGGCGAAGACATTAAAGAAGGATCTCCCTGAGCGGCAGGCGCTTCTGCGGCTACTGTAGCATGATGTAGCATGCGTAGATCAATCAAGAGAGATCTCTTGAGAGGCAGTGAAGGAATCATCCGCAGAGGCACCGAACACATGGAAGCCCTGCAAGAGCCCTCACGCTCAAACCCGACAGGCGATTGGGCACCTCAACGCCAGAGTCGATGGCCTCGCCGACAGGATACAAGAGGTCCTTTGATTTTGAGAAAGGTTGACGATGCTCCTGCAAAGGGTTTGGACTCCATCTTCAGGCTCATTGCCAGTGGCTACTGGTAGCAAATTGGTAGCAAATGCTACTCGTGACTGTAGCATGTGTGTGTGTGTGTGCATGTGTGTGAAAATGACACGTCATATCCATACCCCAACTTTGCCACCTATGTGGCTCAAGATCGTGATGCACTTTGTGCAGTCCCTGGAAAGAGGCGCTCCGTGACCTTCAGGGTTACTTTGATCTGAAGCTGCGTGAGCAGTGCACGCGGTGAATTAGGGTATTGTTAGTCTGCTGTCTTGTAGATTTTACCCTGCCTCCAGTACTAATTTTGTCGTCCTTAGCATTTGCTGTACGCGACTACTGCTGGGCTCAAGTCCCCACAGAGAACAGGTCCACCAGGGTTGACTCAACGGTAAATTATTGCGCAATTGGCTGTGATCCCTGAAACTTCACGTAGTCAGCCGTAGGTAGCTCTCGTGGCGTTGGTACCCTCAACTGGCACCCCAGCAAAGGACAACCAGGGCACCAACACGCAGAACTACTTTACTCAGCTGGTCCAAGAAAATCAGCAGATCAATGTGTTCATCAACGATTGGACACTGGAGCACTCAGCAGAAGCTGAAGCTGAAACGAGGCACCTTATGATGATGGACGCCACTTATACGGAAGCCACTATGCATGTAAGATCTCTGGGGGCTCATGCGGACGCAGGGCACTCAAGGCGCTTGGCCTTCGTTCAACAGGATACACACGTGTTGGTTTCCCAATTGAACACGGAGATGACCGCACACTAAGCTGAATCTCAGCAGCTTCGGGCGAAGCTACTAGACAGTGAGGCAGATTGTCATGACGAACAGCAAGCACCACTCAAGCTCACCTCACAGGGCATGGCACTCCACATGCGTGCGCTCCACTTCGAAACAGCACTTAAGCACGACGAGCTACAGACAGCACAACTTCGGAAATCGTTCGATGTAATCGCGCTACGTTTCTTGAGTACCGTGCACAGGAGTTCGAGGAAAAGCTGCAGTGTGAGGAGAGCATGTGTGTTTTCAGAGGTTGAGGGCTGAATAGTTGCAACATGATGATTGGCCTGGGAAACCATAGTTGCGCAAGTTTCTTTGATCTCGCCACTGGTGTCGGTGGCCTAAACCTCCCTTCCTAGAGATCAACAGAAAAGGACATGACTCGACATCCCTCGCATTTTTTCACTGCCACACCTTTGCGAGTGTGACCTTGTATAAGTACAAGGTTCTCTCGGCCACAAACCTTGGGTTCACAGCCCTAGAGTAGCAACACGATTGATTAGAGTCCTCTGGCATTTGGGAGGAGTATGCCAGAGGGTTCACAGGTGATCTGTTGGCATCTTTATCCAGCATCAACTGGTGCACCACATGCATAAGCATATGATACTTGGGTGTCAGTTTGTAACGAGGCAACAACCTTCAGTGTGCCATTGTTGCAATGCGAGTGCACAAAATAAGCATCGCCATCCCCAGCCGCACAATCTTTACAAGTCGTCGTCTGTTCAGAAACAAGCCGGCTTTGCACAAGGAAGTCAAGAACCCATCGGAAGCTTGCAGGCACTCCAGAATTGTTCGGAGATACTCAAGGTCGTCGTGGCCCTGCAGGGCCTCGGATGCCAACACCGTCTCGAACTTGAAGATGAGAAACTCGAGGACGAATGTTGTGTCGGCCCCCTTGAGCCATTGCCTCGGCACAGCAGGGAAACCGACGATGCACAGAGGTATCTGTCACAAGACAACGTGTTTTGACATTAACATGCGAAGCAGTGAAAGCACCCGACAGGGAAGTCTGCTGACGAGTACACCCCCAACAGCCCTTTCGCAGTCAAACCATTCATGCGCAAATAAAGATTTCGACCAGCAGAAAATGCTTTCATCTCCCGAAACAAAATGTTCCAGGTTCTTGCCGAGACCTCTGGCAGAGGTTCCAGTCAGATTGAAATCCCAGAGACGCATTCGTGCCGAGGCACGAGGTACGGCCGTGTATGCTAGCGCTATACTTCCTACCGTGAAACATCGACGGTGTTTCGGCTAGTTCAACATCGAAGGTGTTTCGGCTAGGACACAGCGCAGGTGTTTCCGCTAGTTCGAAGCATTCGAGCTATTGGGGTTCACATGGCCGAGAACGAACATGCTATGTCCGTGGCCATTGTGCTAAAGGGCCCCCAACCGGGGGCAAATTTGAAGTGGGGAGCCCGCTAGCGAGTGGGGGGCCTCGATCGTCGCTAGCTAGTGGTCGCTAAGAAGCAACGCCTTGTGCTCCATAAGGCCTACCGCTACCTCGTAGACCAGGGCTAGAGCTTGCGGATGGGAGGAACCGCCCGCTAGCAGGAGACGAGGCGGGTTCGGGGGGCTGCCGGGCCGCCGGCTCTTTGCCCGGCCGACGCCCGACCGTGCCGCTATAGCTCCTGTCTCCAAGCACGTGCTAGCACACTTTCACGCACTCCCACAGCCACGACAGTCTAGAACACTAATTTTGAATACGATTTTCGCGAGAAATTTCTAGCACCATGGCCAAACCGCTAGCCAAAAAACTGGCGCTGGGATCTTCGGAACTTAAGCAGTTCCTGCTAGTGCACCACAAGGTCTCGGACGAGATCCAGGGTGAGCTATAGCAGAACGGTATCGACACCATCGCTAAATTCGCTGCTTCCACTACGGACGAGGCGGACGTGAACCAGATGCTAAAGGATTCTTTTTCAATCGATCCGATAGCATCGCTAAAGATGAGGGCCCAGGCCGCTAGGGTGGTCGTGGCCTGGAAGACCGCTACCGCCCGCGTGGAGCGCCAAGCGGAAGCCGAAGCTACGAGCGAGGTGCGGGACACGGCTAAGCCAATCCCGAGCACCGACTATATCGCTATGACGCAAGCCTTCGCCGCTAAGTTTGGGGACCTCGAAGACAAGCACATCCCCGCTAAAGAGTACATAGAAAAGAAGCTGGCGGAGCTCGAGTCGAGACCAGACACGCTAATGCCCCACAGGGATGCTAAAGGCACCGTGTCCATCAAGAAGGGCGGGTCCAAGACCGCTATGCCCTCAGGGCCAGAGCAGCTGCGGCTGCGCCTCCAGAACGCGCTAATCATGATCCAGCTAAGGCACCCTAAAACCGCGAGGAGATAGCAGATGTCTCCATGGCGCTATTCGAGAAATACAAGGAGTACCTTCTCGGGGACTACTGCTACGGCCTATGCTCCAGTGAGGCCATGGAGCCTGGTGCTTAGTTACGAGCACGCTATCAGGAAGCACGCGTACAAGGTCATGGCCACTGCTGGCTACACCTTCGGGGCCGCGTTAATCCACGCCTGCAAGGAGCCCTCCGTCAAGGAGCGCAACTTCACCACGCCGCTTGCCCTTCACGCCAAGCGGCCTCAGCCTTGGAACGCTACGCTGCAGCAGCAGCCCAAGAAGCTAAAGAACGGCAAGGGCAGAGGCAAGGGCAAGGACGGCAAGCGCGCTAAGAGGCTCAAGGATCCCACCCCGGAGGGAACCCCAATCTGTTTCCGCTACAACGCTAAGGGGTGCAAGCCAGGTGACAAGTGTCACTTTGCGCACGTCTGTATGCTGTGCTTCGGCAAGCACCCCGCCACAAAGTGGCCCCAGAAGGCGGCGCCAACGCGGGAGCGACCGCTATAGAACTGACCCGACGTGGTGCTGCCCGCGGAGCCGCTACAACAACAATGAGCTACCACAACCTGCAGCTACGGGCACTTCGGTGCCTCTAGCCTGCCAAAAGTCCGCTGCGGTGCTGCTGTCACCGCCCTGCGCTAGCTTCTCCCGAGCTACCTGGGCGAGCTTTTCTGGACCCCGGCCGGTTCGCAGCTACGAGCACCCTCGTGGTCTGGAGAAGCTAACACCACTGGAGTGCAGCCACAAAGCCCAGCCAGTTAAGCGTGGAAGGCAAGGGTCGAGTCTGATGTGATGCTTTTGATGCTGTACTCAGTACTCTTTCTTCAAGCACTTGTGGCTTTATTAGGCTTGCCCTGGGCTTGCCTTCATTCAACGACGCCCGGACACGCCAAACAAGCCAACAGGACAAACAAGAGATTTCCTGCAACATGAACAAAGTGAGGTATCTGGGGAACGGAACTATCAAGTTTTTCTCTACGAGGGTGGCAGCATCGAGGAAGCCTGCATTACTATCGCAGCCTTCAAGGGATGGGCAGCTGGCCAGTGCAAAGTCTCACTCACGGACTTTGGACTATTCGCACACAAGGGAATCTTGCTGCTCGTCGTGTGTGATCAAGCGAGTGCTCGAGCGTGAAACAGCAGGCTGAGTTAGGCAGGCACCTTTGCGTAGGCAGAATCATGGCCAACGCGAAAGCCTTGAAGAACCATAAGGCAAGGCGGGAAGCCTCAGTCATGTTTCCAGTTTGCGGGTTGGTGGTTTTGCTAGGCCGTGTTGGAGGCCGACCACAAGGCCAAGTCCTTCGCCAATTTGGCTCAAAGGAGTCGTCTTCAGGAAAAGCTGTTGTTCATGTTCGTGCTTGAAAAGCATTCCGTGTTGAGGACGGTGCTGCGAAGCATTGAGGTAAAGGTATGTTTTTTTGCCCTTTCGATTCTAGGTTTCTTCCGTGTAGTTGTTGCAGAAGTCCGCAGGCATTCAAAGCTGCCAATTCGCAGAGGCTTGGTCCTGGTTGCCGCGTTCCAGCAGGCGTGCATGCATCACCAGTGCAGGTTTGCCGAAGCCGTCAGCATCGTGAATGACGAGGAAGTAAAGGTATGAAAATGCCGTTCCACTTTTGCTTGCATGCATGCGCATGAGCTTCGATTCTGTGCACAGGCATACCGGCTGAAGATCTTTTTCAATGCCTGGGCCAACGCCGCCCGGCTCCGCAAGGCCACGGACAATTGTCTGCTGCTTTCTGCGCAGGGGGTGCGCTGCAGTTTTGGGGAAGGTTGAGGACGAAGGCGTCGATGCGTGGTTCTTGCAATATCAGGCACGGCTTATCGG